CATGCTTTTTATTCAGTCATGCAGATCAGCATTCTTTTACTATTAGATTATATTATATATTTGTAATTTTATTCCAGTTATATTATTATGTGTATGTATAATACATGTTGAGGGGCACATATGCTATGGTACACATGTGGAGGTCTGAGAACAACTCTATGAAGTTGGTTTTCTCCTTCCACCTTTACATGTGTTCCAGGATTCAAATTCAAGTTTCAGGCTTGAGTGGTAAGCACTTTACTGCAATTAAAAGCAATTTCTGATCATTATAGACTTGAGAATACTAATAATACAAAGAAGAAGGTAATCTAGAATACAGTTCTGTTAGACTTATTATTCATTTTGTATTGATTTCTTCATCTATTTTTTAAAGAATTATTTATTTATATGTATGAGTGTTTTCCCTGTGTATATGTATGTGTCCCACTTGCATGCATGGTTGTGAGGCACCATATGGATGCTGGGAACTGAACCTGAGACCTCTGCAAACAAATGTTCTTCCCACTGAACCATCTTTCCAGTCTCCATTCTTTATCTTTTTTTAAAAAGATTATTTATTATGCATACAGTATTCTGTCTGCATGTCTGCCTGCAGGCCAGAAGAGGGCACCAGATCTCATTACAGATGGTTGTGAGCCAACAAGTGGTTGCTGGGACTTGAACTCAGGACCTCAGAAAGAACAGCCAGTGTTCTTAACCGCTAAACCATCTCTCCAGCCCTCTTTATCTTTTTTTAAACATTTTTTTTTGCTTGCTTCTTTTCATGCATTTGGAATTACAATGCATATGAAAATTTATCTAAATTTTTTAAAAAACATTTTATTTCTGTAATTTTTTAGGTATCAGTGCTCTGTCTGCATGCATGCCTACATGCCAGAATCTGGTATCATATCTCATTACAGATGGTTGTGAGCCACCATGTGGTTGCTGGGAATTGAACTCAGGACCTCTGGATGAGCAGCCAGTGCTCTTAACCTCTGAGCCATCTTTCCATCCCCCATATCTAAATTTTTATTCATTCATTTTGTGTGTTTGTATGAGTGCCGACACTTGCATGTCACAGCAACCTTCGGAAGTCAGAGTTCACCTTCCACCTTGTTGAGACTGGTTCTCTTTTGTTGTATTGGTGTCCTCCAGACTGGTTGACCTTTGAGCTTCTGGTAGATTTTCCTGGTTTTACTTTCAATCTTATAAAAGGTTGGGATTATAGATGTATGCCACTGTTCTTTTCATATGGATTCCAGAAATTGAACTCAAGTTGTCAGGCTTGTATGGCAGATACTTTTACCTTCTGCAAGCCATCTCCCTAGCCCCATAATTTTATATTATTTTTTCATTTAATGGCTTTCTCATGTCATTAAATAGTTCTCAAAATGTTATTCTTAACATCTTAAATATAGTCTGTTGTAGTATCTTAATTTATATTTAGCTTCCTTCAGCACTTAATTCCTATTTTTTGTTGGTCATACTACTATGACAAATATTTTAGTATATAAAGATCCCAGCTCCCATGTTGGGTGGCTCACAACTGTCCCTCGCTCCACCTACAGGGGAATCTAACACCTCTGGTCTCTGAGGACACCTGTACTAACATGCAGACAAACACACACACACAGCATACACGAACTCACATACATAAATACTATTTTAAATCTTTAAATTTTGGCTTTAAAAAATATTTTATTAGCATGTATATTTGAGTGTGGATGTCCAAGGTGTGCGTATGGAGGTCAGAGGACAACTTTCAGGAGTTGATTTTTTCCTTCTACCTTCTGTTTTGGGGATTGAGTTCAGATTAAGTGCTTTTACTGACTGAATCATCTCACTGGCCTTAAAACTTGATTTTCCTTAACTAGTCTTCCAGCATTCAGATGAGTTTCACTTTTAGGCAAATCCTAATTGTATCCTTTACTCGTTTGGTTGCTCTCAGTGCATGAGCCTTTTTCCCTGTAGACCTGGGCATCTAAGGATAACCTTTTAATGCATCTTTGTTTTTGTTTTTGTTTTTTTGTCCTAAGCATCTTACTTATTTTTGTTAGTATCTCTCAGGCTGTATATTCCTCCCATCATTTATTGTTTAGTCCTATAAAGTTCTTACATTTCATCCTGAAAAATAGATCAGGAAGGAGACAATGTACTCTGAGTGTCATGCCTAGACACATGATCTGCTTGTCAAGCAGTAGAATTACAGATGAGCTGTGAGTTAAGTTTACATTGAGTGGCAGCAGCATCATTCAAGATTTCACTTTTTGTCTCCATCTGTTTAATTCTATTGAAATATGTTGCTTTTTGTTTGTCATATAGAAATAAACAAAAGCATTCTTTGTGTGTCGCAATTGATGTAGCAGATGGAGAATGAAGGAAAAAATTAAAAAGGTGTGAGTGGAATTTTTTAAATGAAGAGAGATTATTCTTAACATTGTTAAATATTTAAATTTTCTTGAATGCAGAAATGATGAAAATGACAAGGGACCTGAGAATAGGGGGATGATTTAAGAATAACTAGGCATTTAAGAAATACTTCTTCCTCCCATTGTGATCACTGTTGGGTAAAAATGGTGAAACAAAAGCTTACAAATTGGGACAGAAGCAGGAAATCCTATTAGTGGCTGCCAGTTTAACATTCAAGACCAAAGAAAAGCTTACTTCTGTTAGATTTTAATGCTTTTTGTCCTAAATGCTTTTTTAGCAAGGCACAATTTTCATATCATTCTTAGTAAAGATTCCAAATTATAATCATCCTCATTTTTTTGAAGGTTTGAAATTTGTGGCTTGAGGAAAATTGTTCCAGAATTTATGTAATCACTTCCTGCTCCCCTACCTTACCAGAAAGAACCCTTCCCTCTAATAAATCAATAAAGGAGAAAATTTAGCCCCAAGTGCTATAATCCATATAATAGTAAGGACTTCTGCCTAATTCTTGTGTCCATTTGTATCTTGATCAGAGTAGACATAAGAGGAACCCTTTAAGCCAAGGTCTGGTCTTGTGGCTATGTTAGGAGAGCAGATTCTGGAGCTAGGAGTGAAATTATTCACGGCACTGCAGTTAGGGATTCCTCATAGAGGAATGATCTGCCTTCCAAAGATGATCTGTGTTTTCAGCCATAATGACCATAGTTTTTATATTTATTTGCTTTTATTTAATTATTTTTTGATACTGTGTTATGGTTTCGGAAAGTACTAAGAAATAATTTGGTTTTTTTAAATGTATTTAAAACAAACAAACCAACCAGAAAACCTTGTTGTCCTGGGGCTATGTGAAGAAGAATGAAGCTCTCATTTCCCAGTACCCAATCATCGGCTTGAGCTGGCCTCTCCTAGGAGCAGAATTTATTGAAGCAATTTATCCTGGCTAAATGTGATATAAATCTGTGTATACGTATGTACATACAGAGTCTATTCCATTACAGCAGGGCTGAAGCATCAGTTTCCTTCATAGTTAGACCATGTTCCTATCACACTGAAAGATGGCCAGGCAGCCCCTTCTATTTCATGGGGCACCTTACACTTTTAAACACCGATTAGTTGTGGAATTACTGATTAGATAACCAGAAATACTGGTTTCTAACCCAAAAGTAACTCATAAGAGAATAGGAGAGATATTACCTCCTTGCCCTCTATTGTAAGCTTGGTTTTCTGTTACTAGCTTCATTCTGTCATGTTAACATTTTATTTTAATGCAAGCCTGACTGAGATTGACCTCACATTTTGGTTTATCTTCAATATGAAATTTGAAATTTGCTTACAGTTCTGAAGTTACTTCCAGGCATAGTTCAACAATCATTCCTTGCTCATCTTCCATTGTTCACATCTTTTTATGTATTGTTCTGTGTTACAGATAGTTGTGTGAAAATGTCCTTAGAACCTTGTTCTATAAGACTACTTTTATTCTTCCAGTTTTCTCTTTGACTCTTCCAAAATATTGTTTATTTTTTAGAATATTTTATTGTGATTTGCATTTCTAGTCATTATTCCATCTCTGCCTGGTTGTTATTCTTAGTTGGAATATGAGAAATTTCTACAACATATTCAGATTGTATTTATTGTTTTTGACAAAGAATTTTGATAGGCATTTCAAGAGATTAGCTTTAGTCATTTAAAAAAGCAATATAAATTCTGTTAAATTCTTCAGAGAAATAGAGGGGATGGATGGTGGTGCCTTTAAGTGCATTTCTTTTATCCCCTGCAGCAGCACACATCTGTTGGCTGCAACAGAGCAGCCTAAGAACTCTGGCCGAGAGCAGCACAAACAGCCGGAACATATTCACCCAGTAAACCCCCAAAGAGTCGACATTTGTTTTATTGCTGCTTTTAAAAACCTAGCCATAAATAGAATCAGAGGGGGGGAAGGGCACTGATATTTCTTCATTTGCCACAGACGGCTGGTGGGGGGAGAGGGAGGAGGCTCCCAGTGGGGAGGGGAAGTTTTTATTTTTATTTTTTTATTAATGAAAATAATTTCCCATGTAGTTCAATAGGATGGGTGCTTTGTTTTCTTTGGCAATAATCTGGGATAAACGACCCTTGCCAACAGTGTCGTAGTTTATACACCAGGGAGCCAGATTATAGCCTTGTAAAATGGAGCACCCCTCCTATAATCCCTTAATTAATTAAATGACAAATTTTGGTCTTCTCTAGTTCAGAAATATGGCTTCCGAATCAAGCGTTAGGTAAATTTATTGACAGAGAGAGCTGCACTGGTTGTAATTCAGTAGACTGGAGAAATGTGTTATATACTGTAGTAGAAAGAGGAAAAACCTAGCAAAGGTTTAAAATTCTTGGACTATTTAAGTCTGAATTTTCCTAATTAAAAGTTTCAATTGAGGCACAGTAGATCATATTCCACCTGTCTAATGAGTCTCCCCAAAGTAGCCTGTGTTTACAGCTTTGATAGATGGCATTCTTGGAACACCTGTTTCTAGGCTTGATATTTTTGAAGCGCATTTTTTTTTCTCCAGCGTATTTAACATAACTTTTCCCCTACTCCTTCCCCCCCTCAGCTCTGCTCTGCTTTATGAAATATGGGAGACGACAGACCGTTTGTGTGCAATGCCCCGGGCTGTGGACAGGTACGTTTACAATATACTTTATTGTGAATGTCTTGTTGTGAATCAAAGTGGCTGTTTTATCACTAAGGCAAAGAGTTTAAAGCCGGTATTTTACGTGATCACTGGAGGTAATCAGATCAGAGGATTTGCAGTGTGTAAATCCAAGTTATGAGGAAGTGTAGGCACTCCGCCGTAATGAAATCTGCCTTGCTTTCTTCCATCTTGTTATTCTACTGGTGTTTGTTTTCCAACACACACTGTTAAAGAATACATGTTACTTTCTCTTCCTTTCTAAAAGTATCCATCTAAACATACAAGATTAGAAATGTCTTCTTCTTGACCTTCAGGTATATAAAAGTCTGCTTAATATATTTAGAGAGTCAGCTAAGAATGTTCCCATTTATTGTAAGCCTCCAATTTCTGAGTCTCTGAGGGTTTCTCAAATATGAAAAAAGAAATGCTTCTTTTGATTGCTGATCCAGAAAAATTGAGTTAACAGCTAAGGCAGGTACTTCCATCAGGAACAGCCAAGCCCAACATAGAACTTGCGATCCCTCCAGTGGTATTCTACAAACATTTCCCTGCCTGATACCATGACATGTGTTGTTCTATATGTCAGCTCCCACATAATTGTATGTGTGTGTGTGTGTGTGTGTGTGTGTGTGCATTATATGTCAGATGTGTTTCATATACTTTTTTTTATAAAATAATTCTGTTGAAATTGCCTTGTTTTTCATTTAATATATTAACTTTTTTCCTAGATCTTTTTCTAATGCTTCTACAAATGATGGAAAAATGGATAAAAGTTTTATTTGCCTTCCATTTTATAGAATCTCAACTATCTAACTAATCTCAGTTAGCGTTATGTCATCTAACTGTCCAGTGACACTTACTGATGTTATGTGAGATGGCAGACTGGTTCTATTACAAATTGTAAATATTAAAAAAAAAAGAGCTTAGAATTGGAATTTGAGAGGTAGATGAGATGATGATGGATCAAGAAATAGAAAGAATATTCCATATTTCAATAAATGCTGAAACTTTCTGGTAAGATACCTAAACCAAAACATTGTATTCTGCAGTATTAAGCATCCTAGAGTATATTTTCTTCCTTGTTAATTTTTTTTTAACAAGTGTAGGTATATTTCCATTTTCAAATAGTATATTAAGGTAGAATATGTGAAATGATCCCTCCAGATTTATGTGTGTGAATTTCATGATGCCTTTGCTGTGAGTCCAGCAGCTGACATAGTGGTGCCCTGTACTGCTTGAAAATTAGGTGAATTTACTTTCCTCATGTGTGCTTTTTTTTTTTAATTTTTTTTATTTTATAAGACAGGATCTCACTGTGTAGCCCTGGCTGCCCTGGAACACCTTATGTAATAAACCATGCTGACCTCAAATCCACAAAGATCTACCCTAAGGGTGTGTGCCACCATCTCTGGACAGCCCAGGCTACATGAGACCTTGCCTCACAAACAAACCCAAAAAAAATTTTTTGTGAACCAGACATGAGGGTGCACACTTTTAATAATAGTACCCAGAGGCAGAGAAAAAGTGATCTTTTCAGGGTGGGGCCAAAATGGTTGAAAGGGTAAAAGTACTTGCTGAACAGACCTAACAACCTGAATTTTATATTGGATCTCATTGTAGAAGGGTAAAAAGAAAGAGTGAACTCTCAAAATTCCCCCCCAACCCTCCATGTGTGCACCTGTACTTACAATATATATATATATATATACATATATATATATATATATATATATATATAATTTAAAAAGCTTTAAAGTGCACCGTGGCTCATTTCTTTATTCCCAGCACTTGAGAGGCTGAGGCAGGCAGATCTCCTGAAGCCAGCCTGGTTTACAGAGCAAGTTCCAAGACAGCCAGAGTCACACAGAGAAACCCTGTCTCAAAAAAAAAAAAAAAAAAAAGTTTAAAATGTATTTAGTACTAGAAAAAAAAAGTAGTAAGGATTTTTACTTTGGTTTCTCAGTTTTGTTGGGCTTTGTTTGTGAGCCTTTCCCCACATTTCCAAATTGTGTGTTGGTTTCTATGACTCACTGTAAGGTCTTTAGGGTTTGGATAGCTTTTTCCCCCTAGTGGGAAGTTGAATATGGCACTTGGAACTTGACATCATCACTTCTTTAATAGGTTAGAAAACCCCATCTTAAGAGTTTGGTGGAAGTGTGACTCATCCCTTTACCCTCTTTGCATATCAGAAACTGTTCATTTAGGTAAGATTATTGTTCTCCAGCTATATTTAGTCCATTCTTTAGATTTCTTCTGAGATCTGGTAACAAATAGCTCTAGAGTAGGATTTTCAGCAGACACTTGTGATTACCTCATACTGTGTGAAATAGAGAAAATGTGGCAGAAGATGAAAATTTGGTAAAACCAACAACCAGTTGGCATGCCATTGAACGTCCTTAAATCTTGAAACAGCTTCATTTTAGAACTACCCAGAGGCCTTTAAGTTACTTGTAAGCTACTTGTTATTGACTTCGAATATTTATTCCAAATGTGGTAGAAACAAAAAAGGCTATGTAAATCCCAGGAAAGAATCTAATCTTTAGAAGGCATGGGTTAGGACCTGTCTTAGAAAAGTCTCAAAAAACAGTGGTAAGGAGAAAGAGTTGGCTCCAAAGTTAAGAGCACTGTCAGTGTTGCAGAGCACCCAGGTTTGATTCTGAGTACCTATATGGCAGCTCACAAACATGTGTAACTTCAATTCCAGGGGATCCAACACTGTCTTCTGACCTTCATGGGAACTACAAGCACACAGAGCAAAGCATACTTGCAGACAAAACAGTCATACATATAAGATAAAAAACAAACAGAAAAACTTTTTTTTAATTGTGGGGTTGGTGATTTAGCTCAATAGAGCTAAATGTACATGAATTTGTATAAGGCTCTGGGTCTTCAGCTCCCAAAGAGAACTATGGGAATTCTACTTTGTTTCTATATCTATTCCTTGTGCAGACTCTACCATATGCATCTTTAAACTCAGAAATTACCATTTAGTTTAATATTAAGGGAAGGTGAAAGGAAAATTTACCTAAAATAGACTAGTTGATTATACCCTCCACTATATAATCAAAACTACCAGGCTTTCAATGGATACATAAACATGTTTTGGTTGCTAGGTTTTTAATGGCTGTTATTTTTGGATTGTGTTCATGATCTACTTCCCAACAGTCAGTCTGATGTGACACAGCTGAATTCTAAATACACTACATGTACTTAAAAAAATGGCTACTGAAAATTGTGCTGTCTGCATTCCTGTGTGAAAAGACAGATGATAAGCTTTTTAGTACCCTTATTCCTATTGGCCCATTGAGACTGTTTCTCCTGAGGCCTCATCAAGCTCATGAAGAACTTAGGAAAAACAATATTCTTGCTAAAACCTCTCTATGGAATGTGGTACAAGCAATCGTTAATAGAGCTGAGCTACCTCCTGAGAATGGGTTAGTGTTGTTAAGGCAACAGTCCCCCAGATATCCCTTTGACAGAGGCCTAGTTGAATGGAGTTGTGTGGGATTTTGAAGCAATTATAAGGTAGCATCTATTTAAGCGCCCTGTGCACTTAAACATACCTGTAATTCCAGACATCTGGTAAACTAAGGAAAGAGGATCACAAGTTCAAGGACAGTCTAAGCAACTTTCTGAAACCCTGCCTCAAAAAATAAAAGCCCTGAGATGTAGCTCTGTCTCCGAGTGCTTGCCTGGTGCTCTTGAGACCATAGTTAAGGGGCTGGAGAGAGATGGTTCAGTATGTACTTCTCTTGCAGAGGACTTCAGTTTGATTCCTAGCGTGCACATGGTGGCTCTCAAGCACCTGTAACTCCATTTCTAGAGGATCTAACATTCATATACATATATGCCTATAACATTCATATACATATATGCATGTGAATTAAAGCTGAATCTTCTTGTTTATTTGTTCTGACACAGGTTTTCTCTGTGTAATCCTGGTTGCCCTGGGACTCGCTCTGTACACCATGCTGGCCTCAAACTCAGATCCACCTACCTCTGCCTCCCAAGTGCTGGGATTAAAGGCATGCACCACCACCACCTGAAAAATCTTAAAAAATGTGAAGAAAAAAAAATGAGACTCTGGTTCAATCCCCAACACTGAAAAAAAGAAAAGAAAAAACAAACAAACAAAAAGCTTCTGTTTAAAAGTACTTATTGGCCGGGTGTTGGTGGCACAGGCCTTTAATCCCAGCACTCGGGAGGCAGAGGTAGGCGGATCTCTGTGAGTTTGAGGCCAGCCTGGTCTCCAGAGCAAGTGCCAGGATAGGCTACACAGAGAAACCCTGTCTTGGAAAACTAAAGCAAATGAACAAAAACATTGCAATTATAAAGTAGACTTGCCTTTTTGTTTCTGTTAAGATAATAGAGATATAATTGATGCTGAATCTAGAAAGTCTTGTAAGGAAAAGTGGATCTTCATTATATTGCCCAGGCTACTACAGAACTCCTGGGCACAAGTGATCCTCTTGCCTCAGCCTCCCAAATAGCTGGGAATAAGTACATTTATATACCATCATTTCCTGCTAAGTCCTGTAAGTTTTTAATATTTTGGGGTGCCACTTTTACTTCAAAGTCTATTATAAAGCCAATAGAATGGGAGCAAGTTTACTATGTCATTATCAGAAATCCTAAATTTGAGATGTTATTTCATGTGCAGCTAACCTACTTTAGGTTGCTTCTTTGTGTGTGTGTGTGTGTATGCAAATTCATGTTTATAGATGTGTATATACATGCATGTGTGTATATGCATGTGGAGGCAAGAGATCAGCCTTGGGTGTCATTCATCAGGATCCATCATCCATCTTGGCTTTTTTATTTCCTTTCCCTCCATTTCCTTCTCTGCCCCCCTTTTCCCTCCTAACTTCGAGTGCTCTTTTTTTTTTTTTTCTTAAATCCACTGAATCTACTTATTGCTTTCTGTATTCTTGGGTGTAGTACCATCTGCTAGAGCATGGGTAGCCTTCCAGGGCCATATTCCTAAAAAC